TAATCCTCCTTTAATCGAAGATCATAAACAACAAGAATTAATAAAAAGCTCATCAAGATTTGAACAAGAGTTGAAATTAGCTTCTGTCAAAAGGATAATTACTGATGCATCCAAATTCGCCGGAAGACAAAATCAAAATGTTAAACAATGGTTACAGGAATTTGACGAAGCTTTACAATTGGTCAGGGTTAGTGATGTAGCTAAATATGAGCAATTGGTTTTGAAATTATCCGGTAGCCAAAATATGGTACCAAAATAATAAATCATCCCTATCAACATGGTCGCAACTTGTGGATGGTCTACACCAAACATTCTCTTTACCGATTGAAAGAGAACTGGCATTTAAACAATTGAACAGTCGTCAACAAGGTGCCAATGAACCAGTTACACAGTATGTTAACCAAGTTATTCACTTGTGCACACAGGTTAATCCAAATATGGATGATAGTACAAAAATTGATTATCTTAAATCGGGCTTAAAAAATTCCTTGAAGATGTTCGTGGCATTAAAAGAACCATCAGACCCAACAACATTTTTACAAGCAGCAAGAATAGCCGAATTATATCAGGGAAATTCAGCAAATGATCAATCAACGGTTAGTACGTTACAGCCGCCATCAACACCATTATCAAACAAGTCACCATATAGATTTGATCATCGAGAATTAGGGAAAAAATATTCAAGGTATGGAAGAGGAAGACCAGCAGGACATAATTATTCACCGTTTAATGAATCACGACCGACGAACAACAACAATCAATATTCGACAACATCTAGCTATCAACCACCACCAAATAGAGCAACCAATTCTGGTATCAGTCAGGCGTCTGTACCCGATTCATAACCACTCGAAGATCACCGGCGCCAAGTACGGTATCCATTTACAAATAGTCCCATAACAAGTCGTGAATGCTACAACTGCGGAAAAGTAGGACATTTGGCAAGGGATTGTCCACAACACCAAGACAATCCACATCCTTTTCAATAACAGGGACACAAGATGGTGGTGTCTCTGATCAAACAATAAAGCATCACCATAACATATATTTATGTTCCAGTTAACAATCGTCCATTAAAAATTTTAATTGATACTGGAGCATCAAATTCATTTATCAGCCACTCATCACTGCAACAATTTCGTCATAAGCCAATCCAGCCATACAAAACGGAATATATAATGGCAGATGGAGGTGCAAGACTGGAAGTTATCGGTACGGTTGAACTGAAAATTAAAATAAAACAAATTACAACAACCATAGTCGCATTAGTGACAACAAACTTATGTGTTGGGTGTATTTTGGGTCCGACTGGTTAACACAATATGGAATCATTATGAATTACAAAACTCGAACGATAATGATTAATACAAGGTGGGGTCACGTGGTCGTTCCCATGGACAACGAAACGGATGTGGTGCATTATGATATTCGAACATGTAATTCAATAGCAATACCGCCATATCATGAAATGGCTGTACCGGCTTCGGTAAAGATATCATCAGCCGAGTCAGTGATTTTTCAACCGAACAAAGAATTATTATCGAAACAATCATTGTTGATTCCACATGCTATTTTAACAGTAGACAATTATCGTACTTTGTTAACAATTCGAAATCCGACCGACTACCCAAGTATGGTACACCAAAATGTTAAGTTGGGATCCATCACAATAACAACTCCAGATATAAAAATATTTGCCATCAATGGAGATATAGGTT